TTGTATTTAATTTTATTTTACTTGTAGAGATATATTATTTTTATTTTGATATATAAATTTAAAAATATTTTGTAAAGACAATAATGAAAAGTATTTTTTGAGATATATAGTAAATTTTAAAAAAAATAATACTAATTTTAAAATAAAATAATTAAAGATATAAATCAATAGATAAATTGTTTAAGTGTAACATGTTTGAATTTGTTAAGGGATGATGTTGTAATGGTTACATCTCTGAGAGGATGTCAATATAAAGGGTGTTTTGGTAAAAAAAATTAATCGAAGTTAAAAAAAATATAATGAAAAAATCTAAAAATGAGTAAAATGGCATATATTGAAATTTGTCAAGAGAAAAATTGTAATTTTTAACATAAGTGACTAAGATAACATATATTCATATCTTTTAAGGGATAAAAGTGTAACCTTGGGAGAAATATTGGGCTTTAAGGAATAATATTCTTTGACAATGTATTTCATATCATATTCATCACATAAAACACTTTATATAAATGATGTATGGCATACAAACTCTCATGCACGATCACAACTTTACATTCACATTTCATATTTCACAAGTCATATCCCTCCTAAGTTATACTTATCATGTGTGTGTGAAAGGAACTTGTTACTGATGAATATCCAATTCATTTAGAACTTACCTTAGCAAGGACAATCAATATGCTTTAATTGTTATATTTTTCAAATTAATATTCTACAAAAAATTATGAAACATCCAAATTGATCAAGACTTAGTTATCAATTCACATGTCTTTCTAATGATAACACCTTTCGATTGATTAGAGCGCTTTTGTGGCATCGACTCATGGGAAGCAAAGTCCTTTCAGTTTCTCATGAAGGATCACCATTTTTACGTGCATACGCACATTGTTCCAAGAAAGGGGTAAGCTCATTTATCTCAAAATGTCTTGTTTTTTTTTCTCTATTTTTTTATTACTCTTCATAAAAATAAAACTACTCGTATAGACATTAACAACATCATGCTACTGAAACATAAATATCATATCATAAATTGTAACAATTATTTGGGGAAAACTACTTAAATAATGTAAAACTAAGAAGTTTCCATATCGTTTTAAGGTCAATGCGTGCCATTTGTTCTTAATCCTTTTTTTCTTTTTCATTAAGCACTTGTTGTTGTTCTCCTTAATTTCAGCCCGGTGTCACTATGCTACTTATAAACATGTCCAATTCCACTACTTTCAATGTATCCTTCGTTGATGACATGAATTTGTACCCTGTCTTGGAGACGGTACCAGGAAGAGTACCAATGACTATGAGGGAAGAATACCATCTAACACCCAAGGATGGAAACATTCGAAGTGATGTGGTGTTGTTGAATGGAACTCCACTACAGCTGACAGAATCACTAGACATCCCAGAAATGAAACCACGATTGGTGGATGCTTCTTCTCCTGTCAAAGTAGAGCCTGACTCAATTGTATTTGTTTATACCAAGAGCTTCAATGCACCAACATGTGGATAACAGGCACAAAATATTATTTAGTAAAGTACGAAACAACAATTTGTACATATATAGAGCTTCATTAAGCCAGCACATGCACATAATATCAATCAGCAACAAGACAACAAAACCTTAAAAAGTTATTGTGGACAATTACTTTTAATTCTAATTACTATCTAGGTAATAAATTTTATTGAACAATTTGTAGTTGATTTATTAGAACGATTACTCAATTTATGTATATATAAATATGTGTATATGTGATTATTGTGTTAGATTATTAATTTGAGAGGTTTTATTATAGGTAGAAAGTTATAGAGAAAATTAATTTAGTTTTGTTATGAAATTCAATCTAAAAAATAAAGTAACATTCAAATGAACATATGAATGGAGTTTCATAAAAATAGTTTGACGAATAAAAATTATTTTGATAAATGTGATCGTAATTGACCAAACATCCAATTTGAGATTGATTATTTGAGTTCTTGTTGTAAAAACTCAATTCTTATAATTTTTTATTTTTTCGTATATACATCCCAAATCACTTAATTTTATTATATTCACGGTTAACTTGAGTTGATTTTAAAACATAAAATAAATGTACTTTTATATATTTTATTATCCGTAAAGGAAAATTATAAAAAAAATAAATTTAAAATAACATATTCATTTTGAAATAAAATTGTGTTCTATTGAGCATCAATTCGATATTAGTGGTCGTGACACTAATTTCTTTCTAAATCAAAGTTTTTAAAAAGAAATATATACAAAATTAATTAATGCCCTTTTAAAATTATTTAATGAGTAATACTAAAAAAATTACTTTTTTGTATATGTAATATTTTTAAAATATAATGAGCAATACTTATAATTGTTGTCATTGTTAACAAATATTTTTTAAGACATAATTTTTTAGATTCAATTTGAGATTAGATAAGTTGTAAGATAGCAATAGAATTAATTTTCAAAGAATATTTTTTTATGTTACTTAATAATTAAAGTTTAACTATTGTATGGACTCGTTTTAGGCATGAGTAATCCAATAATGAATTTTCTATTATATGTTTTCCTTAATGGTACAAAAAATTACAACAACGACAATGAGCATCAAATTTAAGTCCTCATGGAATTACTTCCACCCTTATCGCTCATATAAGTTCTCTCCAACCGCAAATTGAACATCACAATTTTTTTTTCATGATAATCAACATAAGTGGCTCACATGAGTAATGAGTACCCTTATGAATCAACTTTATAACCAAGGTATCAGACTTTTCCCAACCCAACAACCAACATCCTCTACTTTTCTGTTTTCACCACCACAATAGTTTGGTCAGTATTTCAATTAAATAAAGTATTCAAAATACTATTATAGAAAATAATATATTAATTAGATATTTTTTAAATGTATTTATGCAATAAATGAGTTAATTTTCTTGGTAGACAAATAATGTATTAATTAGATGTAAATTTATTCATTAATAAGAGTGCATAATATATATATATATATAGATATATATATATATATATATATATATGGGAGTGTATCATGTGAAAGGACATTTTATTGTAAGAGATAAGAGAATTAAAATATAACCCTTAGATTAATTTAATGAATCAGATTAAAACTAATTATTGTCCATGTTAAAATTTTAGATATTGCATTCATAGAATTCCAGAACCTAAACAACTCAATTGAGAGCTCCGTGACCGTTTCAATTCAAGGGAAGGTCCACCAATAATGGAAAGGTCATTCCCCTCCCTAACTGTTTCTTGATCCCTCATTCCACGAATTTGTTGTTACTGAAATCCTACGAAATCCTAAACCAATACACCCCCCTTAGACTTATCACATAATTGCATCCCATGTTCCACACATCATGTACTCATGTTCACATCACATACTACTCACTTATTTCACATTACAAAAATAACTCACTATCTCATTCAATTAATTAATGTAATTTATCAATCGATGCTAATTTAATTAAATACACAATTTTACATATATCAGTTGTAAGTATAGGACAATGCCTAGTGTGGGGTGCCCTATGCCTGACAAGATCGAGGTCACAAGCCTCTAAAAGGATCATGTTCGATGTGACTCTTCTTATGCTCGACGAAATCACAACAAAAGCCCCTAGAGGTCCCATGCTCGAGGTGACCAAGCTCACGCCCTTTGTTAATGATGTTGCGAACATTTCAGGCTTGATAAGCCCAAAATGATATCCAGTGCGATATCAATAATTTCACACTTTGCATAATTGTGATTTACACATTTGATGGATTCCATAATATACATGAATTTATATTAGAAAGAAGACACATATAACCTAATTAATTTGATTTTATCGAGGGGATTCTAACTCAAAATTGTTTATCTGAAAATTGATTACACACATCTTTAGGGGTCCCCTAGGAACCTACAAACACTTATAAATTCATAAACAAAGACAAATTAACATATTTATAGCACATTTATAGCGTGGTAGCATGTTTAAAAATTTAAAGAGACATCATATACACGTTACAATCAAAAACAAGATTTGGGTTTTACCACATACATACATATACAACCTACAAGATTCGGGATTAATCCTTTTACCTAAACAGATAACTCACAATTTAAAGTGAGGTTCTCACTCACCGTTACCTTAAACACTTAAATCTTGGTTTGGATCTTCAAGCTCTTCTCTTGCAACCTCTAATTCCCTTCCATCTTCAGACCATGAGAAGCAAGAGTTAGGAATAAGTGTGACAACCTTAAGTCTATTATCACATTTAAATGAAATGTTAATCCTAACCCTTGCATAACTCGTTGACAAAAGTCCAATCATTATCTCTCACTATTTTGGAATAAGAAAAAATAATTACTGTTATTTTTAAATATCACTCATAATATAATATTATCTCAATTAATTAATTAAAAATATTATATTAATTTATTATGAAAGGTGGAATGTTATAAACTTCAATAAAATTTGTTTATATTTTAATTTAAAATTTTAAACATTTTTTGCTTATATATATATTCAGAGGAGTATACATTATCAATGTGTCACATATTTTCTCCAAATTTATCTCTTACATTAATTTATATTTTATCTAAAGTACTCTTAATTATTTTACAATAAATGTTGCACATAACTAAAATTCATTATCTCTTTTACTAAAATTAGAAAACATGATTTACATATTTTAATTAATTAAATAACAATTAATATTTTAATCTTGAAAATATATTATTTTAATCTTTATATATATATATATTATTTTTTTAATTTTCTATAATTTCATAAATTTTATCTTTTTAGTTCTATAAATAATTGAATTAAAAAAAATCCCGGTATTTCTTGTAAAAAAAATTGGAGAACCACACATATATATATATATTTAAATAAGAAAGTAGCATTCCGTGTTACTTTATTTATTTATTTATAAATAAAATAAAATAAGAAGAGAGATTGTGAAGTAGAAAATAGTAAAAAGTAATGGAAAATACAGCAGACATAGGAGTCGCGAGAGAGAGTTGCCTCTTGGATGGCAATGGTCCAATACTGAGGAGGTGAAAAAGTTATTTGGAATTATCCTTTTTTCAGTGCCGTACAGCCATACGAGCCATGCCATGGCTACCACCATTCACGCCCTTCTGGAAGCTTCTCCTTCTCCACTCCCTTTATCTTTAGTTAAACCACGTAAACACAACCTTTCTAAATTCACATCACAGAGAGCACCGCACCGTCGTTTTCGCCATAATGATGGACTCCTACGTCCTTGGATCGATCATATGCGCCCTCCTCGGCCTCCTCGCGCTCCTCAATTTTCTTCTCGCACCGAAGAACAACCGTTGCGCGGATAACAACATTACCACCGCCGCCGGACAATGCATTTCCTCCAACCGCCGCGGAGACGGAGACGTCGACGTCATCATTGTCGGAGCCGGTGTCGCTGGCTCCGCTCTCGCTCACACTCTCGGCAAGGTATTTTGATCTCTCTTTTTTGGAGTTTAGGTGTATCGATTCCGATGCCTGTTTCTTCGTAGTTTACGCCTATATATCTCTTGTATTTTATCCGAAACCTGACGAAAACGTATTGTCGTTTCTTCGATGACGGAAGGTCGATTGATTGTTGATAATGATGGACGTGCATTTTGATTTATGGTTTTATTTGCGAGTAAGGTTGAGTTTCGCTTGCAAGTAGCGTTTTAGAAACAGAGGTTTTGGGAGCGAGGTCAACCGCAGGCACATTGTTGGTTGGTGCTAATAGAGAATTGCTCTAGGAGTGCTTATTGCTTTTATTAGTTTGTTTAGATTTGAGAGAAAAATGTTACGAAATATTGCTTTTCTTCATTGCTTCCGGCAATTTGAAATATAACGTTTGTCTCTGATTTTTATTTTTATTTTTATTTTTTTATTTGTAGAATGTCTCTGATTTTATTGTTAACCACGTGTGGTGAAGAAAAATTATAATACTCCATTGGCAGGTGATGGATCCTGCATCTGAAGACTTTGAAAGTCGAACACTCTGGAGTTTGAATATTTTTTGTTTTTCTTCTAAGCAGCTGAAGATGTAATTTGTCTGATTTAGGATGATCAAGACATTAGGTACTTTTACTTTATTATTATTTTTTTAAAAGAAAATGTTAAAGGACAAGCAGTGAGGAATGTTTTTGAAAATTATGTTTTCAATTTTAAGTGGTGGTGCAGCGTAACATCCTTGCTTCTAATCTAAAGCTGCTGGTTGTTTTGTTTGTTTCCATAAATGAACAGTTTTGATTACAGAGATACAGAAAAACAGTTTGGTTTTCACTATTACTTTATCTTGCGTCCAATTTAAATGTGAGGCTAGAGAATTTCACTTTACTGGTGGAGATTCTTTAATCTTTATATAAACTTGACGATGCTGTTTATGTGGCTTGATTGCAGTTCTTACATGATTATTAATTTTGAAAGACGACCACTATTTTTCTGGTAGATTAAACGAACAACCCACTTTCCACTTTTGGAGTGTAAGAAGAATGAAAGAAAGAGAAATAAATAAATAAACGAACCAAGAGAAACGATAGATGTGATAAATAATGTAATGAAAAATAAAGAGATAAGAAAAAAAAAAGGGAGAAAGCTAGATGGAAGAGAAGCTGGGTGTATTGTATAGATATAACCAATTAACCACCCTTTTATCTGGTATCTTTTGTGTTGTAGCGTTGATCAATTAGAGTACATTTTTTTGGAATTATTTTTAAGTACTCTTTTCTAAAACTGATTCACTATTAAGTTTTGACAGCATAACTATTATCTAATGTAGGATGGACGTCGTGTACTTGTCATAGAAAGAGATTTGAGTGAACCAGACCGAATTGTTGGAGAGTTGCTACAACCTGGAGGCTATCTCAAATTAATTGAGCTGGGACTTGAAGGTAGTGCAAACTTAACCGCGCGCACTCGGGATATAATATTTTGTACTTTTAGACTGTGATTGATTGCTAGTGCTGGAAATACACAAAATCTTTGGTCTTTTTAACTCCGGCTAGAGCAAAATAGAGAATGATCATGGCTCGTCTATTACTGCAGACTGTGTGGAGAAAATTGATGCTCAGCAAGTGTTTGGTTATGCTCTTTTCAAGGATGGGAAACACACACGACTCTCATATCCGCTGGATAAGTTTCATTCAAATGTCACAGGCAGAAGCTTTCACAATGGGCGTTTTATTCAGAGGATGAGAGAGAAGGCTGCCTCCCTTCCCAAGTATTGGTTTCTTCCTTGACTTTGCAGTCCCCGTTTGTCCTACAAAAAAATGATTTGCTACGATTCTACATATACGATTTTGTTGTGTTTTTGAAAAGCATATCATTTGACCTCATTTCAATTTTTCACATAGATGCTATTTGAGCTGACTTGGGTAGATATTTTAATCACGTAACTTGAAACCAAATTACTTTGGTTTGAAGTTATTTATGCAATCAGGTTGTCTTCCTATATCTGATCATACAGACAGCCATATGCTATAAGTGCTCACTATTTTTTGTCAATATAACTCATAATTGATATTTAACAAATGAAAATAGACCCACCATTCTAAATTTGAACTGAAGGTATTTTTTTGTTTACACATATATCCATGTGATTATGTATTTTTATTTAATGTTTTGTAGTGTACGACTGGAGCAAGGAACAGTTACTTCCCTACTTGAAGAGAAGGGGATAATTAAAGGTGTGCTCTACAAAACGAAGGATAGTAAGGAATTATCAGCCTGTGCTCCCCTTACCATTGTTTGTGATGGCTGTTTCTCAAACTTGCGCCGTTCTCTTTGTAATCCTAAGGTGATAAACTTTTTTAGCTTAATAAAGCTTAAAGACTTGATACAGTGCTCAGTGTCAATGAAGTGCCAGGCTTCCTTACAATGAATTTACATTTTCCTATTATTCATTTGGGGGGTCTCCCCCACCTCCTCTCCCGGTTAAAATGTTCTTGTTAATCATGTTTGGACTGGTGAGTAGTCTGTTGAATCCTGATTGCTGGTATTTTTATAATTGCTTTGTTTGCAGGTAGATGTTCCCTCTTGTTTCGTTGGCTTAGTTTTGGAGAATTGTGAACTTCCTTGTGCAAATCATGGCCATGTCATACTGGGAGATCCTTCGCCAGTTCTGTTCTATCCTATAAGTAGTACAGAAATCCGCTGTCTGGTTGATGTTCCTGGTCAGAAAGTTCCATCTATTTCCAATGGTGAAATGGAAAATTATTTGAAGACGGTGGTAGCTCCACAGGTATCCCATATATGCCAGAGTGGTCCTACAAATTCCTTTTAAACCTTTGCAAGTCCTTTATTTCAATGAGAGCAGAACTTATTTCACATTCTCAGCTAAGTGTTAGATAATGAAAAGGGGAAATTAATGCAGGTTCCTTCTGAGCTTCATGATGCTTTCATAGCTGCTGTGGACAAAGGCAACATCAGGACAATGCCAAACAGAAGCATGCCAGCAGCTCCTTATCCTACACCTGGAGCCCTCCTGATGGGAGATGCATTCAACATGCGCCATCCTCTAACTGGTGGTGGAATGACTGTGGCATTATCTGATATAGTAGTGCTGCGAAATCTTCTCAGGCCTTTGCGTGACCTGAATGATGCCTCCAGCCTTTGCAAATACCTTGAATCCTTCTATACCTTACGCAAGGTAATTTGTTCTGACCTTGAATTGAGGCAAACACCTCATGCTATTTTTTTTCCCTTCTCAACTATTCAAATGAATAAGCGTTCATGAAGTCATGTGACTCTGCTTGTTACCTAAACTATCTTTAATCTTTCAATTGGCAGCCTGTGGCATCCACTATAAATACGTTGGCAGGAGCCCTTTACAAGGTCTTCTGCGCATCACCTGATCCAGCAAGGAAGGAAATGCGCCAAGCTTGTTTCGATTATCTTAGCCTTGGAGGTCTATTCTCGGAGGGGCCAGTCTCTTTGCTTTCAGGATTAAACCCTCGGCCCTTGAGCCTGGTTCTCCATTTCTTTGCTGTCGCAATATATGGTGTTGGTCGTTTATTGCTACCATTTCCCTCACCTAAACGGATTTGGATTGGAGTCCGATTAATTTCTGTAAGTAGGAACGTTTTTTTGATTCGTTGTTATTTTTATCTGGATAATTAGTCGGAAAACCGCCTTCACCCTAATTACAAAAAACAATTTTATCTGGTCAGAGTGCATCTGGAATCATCTTGCCAATAATTAAGGCCGAAGGAGTCCGTCAGATGTTCTTCCCTGCAACTGTTCCAGCTTACTACCGCAATCCCCCCGCTTCATAAACGTGAATTCGTTTTCATGAGTCGAGATCAAGGATCAAGATGCGCTTGCAGTGCTTTCCCGTTTTCCGAAATTTATTGGGTTCATTGAATTTCATTCCGAAATTCCAGTAAACATTCTGGCTTTATGTATGAATTTTCTGTAGAATCGTTTTCAGAATAAAATCTTGATTTTTTCAAATTTTTTTTCTTCTAGTGAGATCCCCATTTTGAAGTTTGACTTTCAACTGTTTGTTTTTGTCCTTTTAATCACAGGTTATTCAGGGTCGAATGCTACCAATTCCAAAGAATCAATCATAAAATTCCGTACAGATCCCGAGGAATTTAGTTGAAAACATTTAGTGTTTAAAAATAGTTAATTTAGTTTATAATAATAAATTTAATTTATTTATATATATATGTGCTTTTTTTAATTATCATTATCCTATTTTATTTCCTAATACTCATTTTTTAACAAATTAAAATACATGTCTTACACTACTTTTCTCTCTTAATATTCATCTTTATTCTAACCAATTAAAGTACAAGTTTTTTAAAAAGTTCATAATTAATATACTTTATTAAATAAAAAATCTTTAATTAGAAATATTTTATTATAAAATAATTAATATATAAGACAGATAATATAAATTGAATCTTTTATAAATAAATAAACAGATGTTCTAAATTAGATCTTATAAATAGAAGAGAGTGTTCCGCCATACCATCCTGCATAATTCAGAATCAAGCACTTATCATTCACTATACTTTTTCTCAACATATTTGCCGGATTTTTACAATCTAAACTCACTTTTCTATCTTACTTTAGCTGTGTCATCAGAATTCACTACAAATTCAGCTCATCCGGTACCATGCGAACTTTGTTCACAAAGAAAATAAGTTTAAATAAAACATACTAGTGATTTTGGGCCTTGCTGCTCCCCAAAAAGGGGCGAAAGACCGAAATTAGATTTTAGGAAATGTAAATCAATAAGATTAAATAAAACATACTACTGATTTTGGGCCTTGCCCCTTCCCATAATTAAAAAAAGGGGCGAAAGACCGAATTGAGAATTTAGGAAATGTAAAGTACTACAAAATTAAAAAACAATATTTAAGAAACTCTAATGAATATATTAAATAATGGAAGAAAAACTACGCTCATTTCTGTACGAGACAATATGACAACCTTCGGAAAGCACTTGAGTCTAGGGCACTGCCTCTTTCCATATACAGTCTTATGTTTACCCGCGTTTGACGCTTGGCGATGACATAGCCACACAATCAAGTCATGCTGCCAACAATTGATTACTAGACTTTGAGCATGCCAAACGAGTTATGCAAGTATGTGTTAAACAGGCGTTACATTCTATTTTTGATGGGGGGAAAACTAAATTTGAACTGTTATCATCAATACAATCTTATGCATAAGACTAAAATTCCAACTTTTTAATGAACCCCACACACATACAATCCAGCTTCCTTTCCAAAAGAACACGGAAGTAAAATATTAACCACAAGAAACATGTACCATTTTTACTTTATTAGCATCAATGATATTTTTCTGCCCTTACCAAAACCTAATCTATTCAGGAATCTAATTACATTAGTTACTTGAAAAGGAAAACACTTATTAAGTTGCTACGAGGTAATTGATAAATTAGTTGACAAATAAAGACAGATAAATAAAGTTGGCACTTAAAGTCCAAACTACAAAGGGAAAATGCCTTACATAAATGACCGTTCCATTCGTGGTAAACGTTATATATGTAGGAATAGTGAATAAGATAATGAATGGGTTGCAGTAAAAAATAAAATAAAATAATGAATAGGTCGTCAAACCAAGTGTTAGTCATCATGTGACTAACATTATGTGTAGTAATCGTGATTGACAAGGGTACTGCAAGCCACGTGTGTCTAACATAGTACGTAGTAGTACTAGTAGTAATACATTTGTGTGACAAAATAGTTTGTGGTTACTTTGGTGAGCTCCAGCTGTGTACAGGAAGTGAATTGATGGGAAAATACAACCCCCTCGAATCTATTGAGACCACATTCCAGGGGCATTAAATATCTGGTTGGGATGCTAAATAATTAATACATAACCTTATATTTGATGAATTTCATAATTAAAAAAAACCATAATCTAGTTATCTAATTATTGCAGAAAATTTACTCACAGACAACTATTTTAGTTGGATGATAATTCAATGATGTAACGAGGAACTTTATTTATTTGGAATACCTCGCATACTTTTGGATCCCAGGATAGTTGGGCAGATTTAGGCAATTACAAATGATGGTTCCTCCTTTCCTGTTTTATGGCCTCATATGAAGTCAACACTTCCTTGAACTTTGCCTCAGCAGCCACTGTAACATTTCCACATACATTGACCTGTGATCAGTAAAATCATGGCTAGAGGCTACTAAATAGTATGCACCGAGTATAAGTCAACACCTACCTATATTATCTTGGTTTTGATCAGGATGATACTCCTTCGCCTTGGTCCTAAATGCTGTCTGCAGAGATGAGAGGATAATTTATAAATGAAATGAAGACAGAATTAAAAGGTAATATAGATAACACTGAGGGAAACTAGCAAAATAGTATAAACAATACTAACATATTTAACAAAAATATGGAGACAACACACTACACGAAATCAAATCAGGACTAATTCATGACAATTACATGATTGAAAATAGAACACTAATTTTCAATACTATACTCTCCATGACATCATTTTGTATGGCTTCACTAATTTTCAACAGAAAAGTTATGAAACTAGTGTTCAAGAGTGACGCCCAAACCCACCATTATGTTGTAGCAAGTTTCTACTATAGTCATTGAAAGTAAAATAAAACAAGTTCATTTACCTAGCCAAGTAGATGCATACAATAACTGGTGGATAAAATCTTAGTAAAACACTGACAGTAATGTGCAAGGCATTGTGATGAAAAGATGAGTTACCTTAATCTCAGCCTCTGAATATGGTGTTTTTCTAAACCTGAGGTTCATCAAAAGAGCGTTAAATTCAATGTCTAATCATGAATGTAAAACAACCAAACTAACTTAAAAACAGAGGATGGCTTTGTTGAATTAGAAAAAGAACACACACTCAATTAGCAGTTACAGTATAGAAATGCCATTCCCTCTCCCAAACCATGATACTCCAAACATCCACCCTGTCCAGAAGAAAAATGCTATTTCCTCTGAAAGAGAGGCTGATTAATCTTCAGAATTTTAAATGAATAATTTACTTAAAATCATTGACAAGTGTCGCATATTTATTGGTTCAGAGGATGAGGCACATTTTTGGTTCAGAGGAGATGGTACTTCTTGTCAGAGTGATCCCCGTGTCCCCTCATACTTCTACTCTAGAATGCCTGACCCGCACCCCAAAAGCTAGTCTCACAAAACTAAATCCCACCTATTCAGCTATTCTGCTAACCGTCACTCCTTCACATGGATCACCCTGTTTCTCCTTGAAGTTAATCTCTCCATTCTGTGGGTTTCTTTTGAATCAGGTCTAGAACATGATCCACTTGGGCCTGCTCCTCCTCATCTACTGTATGCCCAGTTCTATCAGAAGTTGCATGTTGCAACTATTCGTAGGTATCAAAATCATATGCTCAATACTTGTTTGAGTTTATAATTACATATTGCTTAACAATGTTGTCAAAATCAAGATCTTAGGATCGGGAGGGGATTGAAAGATAGTAAATAGTAGGATTGTAGCTCAGGTTACAAGATCCTGATAACAATACAAAAAATATACTTAAAACATGTACATATGCATAGAAAATAGCATAAATAAGGAAAATAACCTCTAAATCCATATCGCATCATTGAATTTGAATTAAACTTAAACTAAAAAAATTCATAAGCTTAAGATTCAATGCTATTCCTAATTAGTCACACAAGTGAGCATAAGTTTTTCATGAGATTTGAAACCATCTTTTTCTTAAAAGAGAAGAACAAAGGCATAAGAGACAGACAAAAGAAAGGCACAACAAAAACAAATCACAGAACAGAGGCACGCACAAATTGATAAGAAGTGCAAACCCAACACCAGAGGGCACAAGAGAAATTAAAGCCCAAGGCAGAGCTGTGACCTAGTAGTGCCAAAGGCAGAGTTACGACCCAGGAAACAAAGGCCAAAAGATTTAAACAACTGTGAATAGCTGAACAATTAGGGTATGATTTTCATATCAGGTCACAAAACTAGGACACTAGTTATGCAACTAGAAGGAGCTTTGGAACATACAAAAATGGAAAGAAACTTGGATGAAAAGGTATGCTTTTCATATCAGGTCACAAAACAGGAATAAAAATGCACCAGAAATAGGATTGGCTATCATGCAATTGTATGGATAAGATGATCATCCTTACTGTGATCTCAGAGTTGTTATCCAACAACCAATCCAGCTCACTTCTAGCTTCAAAGATCATAGGATCTTGCAATCTGATGATCTTAATCATGATCTTAACAACAATGTTGCTTAGAATGAGAGTGTTCATTGAATGCTTTGAATGTATTTTATAAGGAGCCTATATAATATTCTCTTCATCAGACATTTTCTTCCTTTCAACACAAGTCTCTTGTTTTTTTTCCAATGATATGAAAACTATATTGTATTTCCTCAAGTAATGGAAGTAAAAACATGGTATTTCCTGTGAAACAACATATTAGATGGGTGGTTCATTATTCAAGATTTCTATGAGTACCTATCAAGACCCAAAACTGAGTAGTGATGTGATAATGCATAGGTTCCACTCTCTCTTGGAGTTTCTCGATAATTAGTCCTCCTGTCTCTAAAGGACGTATCAGCCTTCCAGTACCAATCTTCTCTCTGGTAATGCTGATGATATGCACCAGGACCGCTTTCCCTCCAGCTCTCATAGCTTCTTTTATACTTATTCCTTTCTCTGTTAAACACACTTTGCATACGCCTTATTCGCTCCTGCAAATAGTAGATGGAAAATCACCTAGTGACAAGTGATGCAGAAGCATATTTAAGGCGTAATGCATAATTTAGGGATTATCATGTTATTCATGGACATTTAGAATTCCCTCTTATGAAGTATATCTTATTTTTATTTTCAGGCTTTTGATCTTCAATAAGTTATATATTTCTTAGGAAAATATTATGAATAACAATATATAAAGGTCATTTATTATTTTTGCATAAACAAATTTTGAGACATTTTTACCCTTTATTTATCATGGTAACTATACACTTTGTATCAGATAACTTAGTAATTTCTTATTAATTTAAATAAAAATTATTATTTACTAAAAAAACCTGCATAACTGTATTGTAACTTCTACACCTCAAAACATTAACATGCCATAGATTGCCTTTTATGGCTAGTCATATGAACATTTCCCATTTGATTTCATTCAGTTAAGTCTCATTTCGGAAAAACCATATTTGATGAGGATTTTATAATTCATTAAGATTTAGCTAGTATTTTTATTATCGTTTATTATAAACAGACTTTCAGTGCCTTATATCATTCACACTTTTCTAAATAATATTATAATATTGAGATTTACTTTTTCATCAAATCTCAGAGTATCGGAAAAACTCCAAGTGAGTACTTTGCCCTAAAGGAGTACTCTAGGCTAGTCAGCCTAGATGAGTCCCCTCAGCTTAGGTATATTGTTCTAAATCACCTTAGCTCAAGCCAAAGTGCCTAAAACAACCATCCAATCAAACATTCATGCAAGCTAAAATTAACATGTTTTTCCGGCTCACTATGAAGCATTAAATTTGATTTCTTCGCAAAATATAGTGTTTAGACCTTCTGAAAAAAATACCACAGAGCACATCTTTCCATCTCAGATTTCAAGAATGCAATTGCAAAGTTCATATATATAACAATAATAATAACAGAAGTAGAGAAATAAAAAAGAAAAAGAAAAAGAAAAAAAAAAAACTCACGACTCTTTCCATCTCCTCCTCCAACTCCTCTTGCATTCGCTTATTGTGTCTCCTCCATGCTTCCTCCTGAAAAGCTGATCGGAAAGAACCACCACTCTCTCCTTTCCACGACGACTGCGTCCTCGACATCTACAATAACGATTAACGTGTTCAAAACCACACACCGTCAGTTTCACCATGAATCTCTCCGTTACCGCTCACAGATAACCGAGAAGAGAAAAACCTAGACTCTTCAGGTCTCACACAAGCAAATCATCGAAAAACACAATGAAATGCATAGTTCCATATCATATTACAATTACTCATTCAATCGCTCTAACAGGTTTCAACGTCTTTAGTTAGTAACAAATTTGAATTCACTTTCCGTACCTGAACATAGAACCATTCAACAGTCCTCCGCAGCTGACCGACCTACAAATTCGGAAGCAATTGTAATATTCTAAATCTAAACGCTAAATTAAAAAATTAAAAACAAAATCCATATCTGGAATCTCCTCGAGCAAAACCTAAATAAGATCGATTGAGAAAAAGGAATTCGCAGAGACTCACCGCAAAGGTAGTGACGGAGGCGCCAATCAAACCGAAGAGTAAAGCTCCCCAAACCCTCCTGTTTTTGTCTTTATCTTTGTTAGCGTCCTCCTTCATTTCGTAAACAAAGATAGCATTCAACGATTTCGATCACCGATTCCACACACACATCCTTTGCCGTATTTTTCCTATCTCTGCTTTATTCCAAACTCGCAATTTACAGACACTCTCCCTCGTCACTCGTCAGACGCTTGTTTTGTTAATTGCAATAAATATGCGGTTAGTTATTAACCAGCAAACTAAAAAACTTTTATATTGGGCCGAAATGATTAAACAAAGTGGGCCCATGGGAGGCCCATTATGAGCCCAAGGTTGGGCACCGTTGGATGTTGTTATTGGATTTGGAACCAACCAACTAACCGACACTCGGTAAAAAACACAATAACAGGAACATTAGTTACATTCCCACGAACCCAGTCTCTGTTTCTGTCCTTTTTTCTCTTTATCCATGCGCGTTGTGGAGGATAGACAAAATGCACTAAGTTCAGATCTAGTCTCCGACACCCATTGCATAGAGCAGCTTCCATAACACTGCTCAGAACATTGTACGGATCCGCGTCTAGAACAGGTGCAATACTAAGGAATAATTTGCTTCCTATGTCTGTGGAGCAACCTTTGATATATATTTTTTTTCTTAGTTTGATATATAGATGCTACGCTTTCAACAGGTCCCATTGTTTATTGCGTCTGAATGTGAATTATACGATATTCTGTGGTTGCTTACAAGTTAGTAGTGAACATAAAGCTTGCTATTGATATGTTCATTGGTTGATTTTGCAGAATACTATATCACATCGTTGTGGTAATAAACAACTGGATCATGTCGCGGAGACCGGCGAATCTGTCTCGGCGATTCGGAGACAGTGGAGGTGGCTTGTTTTCATCTGCGAAATCAAGGTCTTCGCCGGTTTTGTCAGTTGGGCTTATAATCGTGGTAATGTATAGATTCAGATTCACACAAAATGGAGCTTGATTATACGGTTTTATGTGGAGGAGATTCTGATCACTTTTTGGTTGGAAACTTTTATAGGGAGGCCTGTTTCTCATTGCCTATGTGTACAAGGGCTCAGGTGTGGTTCCAAATTCCAATTGTTTCTTTTGTTATGCCTCCTTACCTTACATTGGTTTGTTACTTGTTATTTTGTGGTTTTCTTTCCCGATTTATTTATTTATTTATTTTTCCTCTGATATTTTTTATAGGTGGATTTGGCAGCCGTTTGGAGTCTGTCAGCAGGGTTGAAGGTACTTTTGTTTTTCTTTCCTCGAGTCTTGGATGGTGTTTGCTTTAACCTTTTATTTTTGAAGTTATTAAAAATATGACGGTGGTATTTTGTTTGGTATTGCATTAATTGTGCCTGATTTTTTTTTTTAAATCGATATGATTTCATTACCTTTATGGAAAACTGCACATTTTTATTTTCCTATTTAAGAAGCTGATATGGTTTAATTGAGTAACAATTGGAGTTTATGTCATCTTATTAAATAAAATAAAATAAAATCCTACCCCTTCTCCTTACTCCAAAATGTTTTTATTGTTATTCTCGTAATATGGCATATGACTTAAAGTGCATTATGATTTAAAGTGTGCAACTGAAGTGAAAGCAAAAGAACAATCCTTGTTTGTTCTTCCCGCAATAGAGTTTTCTGATTCTAGTTAGTTAAGTTGTTTTTATCTTTTCTTGTTTCAGGATGGAAATATCATGCCATGATTTATAGACCTGTTATTGTCTTTTTAAGTTGTGTGACTGAAACAATTCTAGTTGGTTTTGTACTGGCTGTGCATGTTGGCTTATTTATAGTTATCATCTTCTGAGTTCTGACTTGTGTAAATAGGATAAAAGATATTGCCTCGGTTACTAGTCTTTTACGGATCAATGAGTGCACAATATCTTTGTCTTACAGTGCTATTCATTGGGTTGCTTCATTGTTTTGCATCTTGTCTAGCAACCCGGTTTTATGCTGATGGTGTTTTTCTGTAAGGAAAGAGCAGTTTTAAACTGAATAATTGTCATGGTACTCCTCCATTTTAGAGATTACTTAACTAATATTCACTACACTGATTTTTGTATGTTTGCAAAATATCGTAAATCATGATATAGGTTTTTGGAAATAGGGTTCAGTTTATGGAGTTGTTTAAGAAATGGTCATCCGGCTCTTTCCTAAAAGCCATAACTTAGTACCATTCTCGATAACAAATATTCTTGTTCATCTGTACAGACACAATAAGCTTGGCATTTCTCTTACTTCCAGATATATATTGTAATAACATGCTTAACTTCCAAATGCAGGTGATTATTTGTGTACCGGAGAGGTCCAACGTGCAATTCCCGTTTTGCAGAAAACATACGGTGATAGCTTACATAAAGTTTTGCACGTTGGTCCTGATACTTGCTATGTGGTCTCTAAATTGCTAAAGGAGGAGGAAACTGAAGCCTGGGGTATAGAACCTTATGATATAGAGGATGCTGATGGTAATTGCAAAGCACTTATCCGCAAAGGCATTGTCCGTATGGCTGATATCAAGTTTCCTCTTCCATACAGGCCAAAATCTTTCTCTCTCGTAATTGTTTCGGATGCCCTTGATTACTTATCTCCCAGATACCTTAACAAAACTCTTCCGGATTTGGCCAGGGTATCAACTGATGGAATAGTGATATTTACTGGTAAGTGCATTTAAATTAGTGCCTAATCCTGTTTATAAATAAAAATTCTTTCTCAGTCAGAGGAGATTCCTATAATGTAGCATTATGGATTTATTAGAGTGACAAAATCATAATGAGGAAATGAAAGTAGTATGTATGTTTCCAGCATTACTTTGGTTCTCAAGCTATATAGGAACTAATTTTTTGGAGTCTTGAATTGAGACCGACGTCCTCTATAACATTTGTTTATAGAGCAGAAGTGTGTTACTAAGGCTTTCTTTGGTTGAAATTTGGATGTGTCACCATGATTTTGAGCTTTTCATCTATTGTTGCTGGTAGTTTGAAAATTGAAATTTTATCTTAGCAGCAATCAATAATCTCTTGAACCTTTGTCTGGCATATTGGCATCTGATAATTTTATGTGTAAATGTAGGTTTTCCAGATAATCAAAAGGCTAAGGTTGCAGATGTTTCTAAATTTGGAAGAGATATGAAAAGAAAAAAGA